TTCCTCAGAGAGCAGGCGGGACGGACGCCAGGTGGGGGGCCTGCGGCGGTCGGAGGGTTCAGACCATGCTCTTCCACCGCCGGCTGGAGAGGGGGTTCCCTTGGAGCAGAGCAGCGTAGGGCTCCCACGTGGGGGTGCGGGCAGGGGACACCCCTCGGCTGCCCTGGCCAGAGCTGGGGCGGGGAGAACGCGGTCTCTGGGGGGTCCACAGCCAAGCCGCCCCGTGAACCCCCGCCTCGATCTCTCCAAGCCCCATGAGCGGCTCTTGAAGTTCCCGCAGCCTCTGCACAACCCACACCCTGACCAGGCCCCCAAAGGGGTTTCCTCCACAGACGAAGAGCAGGGGCCGCGGGGACTGGCCCTGGGTGAGTACAAGCGCCCCAGGGCTGGGTCCCCGCATGTTCGGAAGGGCGTTCCCTGGACGGGTCACCTGGCATGTGCGTTAGTTTGCTTTGAGGTGAACTGAGATCCTGCAGGCTCAGGAGAAACTTACCACTCCCTTAACTGCCTAGTAGACGGAAAACTGGGGTTACCGTAAAGAATTAGGGTTTTTACCAGAAATAAGCTCTCTAGCAAAGAAAACTCTATACATAGACACGGCATGCGCGGTGCAGATTCTAATTACAGAGCATCTGCTCCTCGTCCCATGAGCCTCCCTCCCCCAGAGTCAGGTGAGCCCCCCTCCCTCCTTGAAGGCCCAGGCCCCTATCACGATCCTCAGCTCAGGGCCCCCACCTTCTCCTTTGGTAGAATCCACATCCACATAAATTTCCCATGTGCACATAATAACATTTGCTATTTCCTTCTTCTTCTTCTTTTTTTTTTTTAAATAGAGGCATGTTTTATTTATTTATTTGTTTGTTTGTTTATACATGCATTGGGTATAGTCAGAAGCGCGGGAGGGTGAGAGAATTCACCAGAGCCAGAGTGGGGAGCAGAGCAGGCAGAAGGACCGAAGTACACTGCTGAGGGGAGCAGCGGGCGGCAGGAGAGGTCTGTGCGCCATGCGGGACCCTCCTCCAGTGGCCGGGGAGCAGCCGGGGATCGAACCGGTGCTGCAGAGGCCGCAGGCAGCATTGCAACCCAGCGCTCAACCGCTGCGCCACCAGGGAGGCCCAATTTCCTTCTTCTAATCTGTCGGGCGTTGATGGGCTGGCTCCACCAGCTGGAGAAGAGCCACAGGGTAGAGGCGCTTCCCTTTGCTGCTGTAGTCACCTTCGGCAAGTTACTGGCCTTGGGGGTCCCCCTTTCTCCCCGGAGCAATGCTGGCTTTTCGCAGAAAGACATGTGCGCAAAGTGGAGGAAGAGCGGTCATCATGCACCACGTGTGTCACTTATTGGAAGATGGTTTCAGTTATTTCATGAATAGAATGATTCACACTGAAAATCCTGGCGTTATTTAAAGATGCTGAAAAAGGACAAGCGTGATAAATGAGTGCCACGCACCCAACACCCAGAGAGAAAATTGTTGACATTTTGTTGCACACATTTTAGTCTTTGAAATAAATCAGATGTTGCTGATGAAGCCGAAGCCCCGCCCGCTCCCCCATGCACCTCCATGCCCCCCACCCACAGGCCGCGTCTAGCTGGGCCGATGCTGCAGCGCCAGGATCTAGGTGACGTGAGTGAAAAAGCAATAACTCTGGAGCACATTTCCTTGAGCTCATGTGGCAGCTGGAAAATTCTTGAGTTGCATTTCAGGAACTTGACTGTAAACGTTTCTGAAATGTATATCCATGTCCAAATAATTCCTGGGTACTCGCTCCGTGAAGGAGCACCGGCCTGAGTTATGGTGCTGGCTTGGCGATTTTCCGCCTCATCGTGCTCCACTTTTCTATTTTCTCCTTCTTCTCCTGTGACCCTGAATGCATTTCAGCACCGTCCTTGACTCCACCCTGTGGGTTCTTGATCGAGTCATCTGCAGAATGTTCTGCCAATGTAGAAGCAGCTTTACATGATTAGCAACTTTGCAAATCAACTAGGCTGGGATTTTTGCCTTATAAATCTCAGTTGGCATCAATCGCCCCTGGGTGTGAAGGCGCGATGCTGAGGTCAGCATTCCAGAGCACGAAGATGCTCCAACTGATGTGTGAGCGCTTAGGCGGGAAGGGAAGGGAAGGGAAGGGAAGGGAAGGGAAGGGAAGGGAAGGGAAGGGAAGGGAAGGGAAGGGAAGGGAAGGGAAGGGAAGGGAAGGGAAGGGAAGGGAAGGGAAGGGAAGGGAAGGGTCTCGCTACACTCTCTGCCCCTGGCTATGTGCACAGTCACGCTTTGTGGAGAGGCTTGGTCAGCCACAGCATGAGTGCAGAATGTGGGTCTGCACGTGCTTGTGTGTGCACGCCTGTGTGTGCATGTGCTTGTGTGTGTACATGTGGTTGTGCATGTCTGTGTGTGTGGGTCTGTGCATGCCGTGTGTGTGTGTGTGTGTGTGTGTGTGTGTATGTGTATGAGTTACTGAGGTGTGAAGCTGATGGAACTAGCAGCTTACCGGGACACAGGAGCCAGCCACTGTGGCCACGAGCATCCGGGTGTGTGCAAGCAGCATGTATTTTATTAAGAAAGAACAGGGCAGGCCACCCAGAGATGACAACATCTTAACTGTTGGCTTTTCTTGGTCTTCCCATTAAGAGGTACTCAGGACTCCTGAAAATATATTTATTGAGCATCTACTAAGTGCCCAGCAGGGTGCTAGGTGCAAGGGAAAAGTGGTGAAACAGAAAGACGTGGCCCCCACTTCCTGAAGTTGGCGGTCTAGTGGGGGACACAAGCAGCCAGCGGGAGAGCAAGCAAGCGGCGGGTGACCGTGAGTCCTGGCGTGGCGGGGCCTGGAGGACAGCAGTCCTGGGAGGCCAAGGTGAGACGTTTAAACTCCACGTAGAGAGGGAAACCACACGAAGCTTTCAGCAGGCGAAGGGCCTGATCTAAGTGTTGTTTGAAGAGAGGCTGCTCTGGCTGTTGGTGGAAACTGGATGGGAAGGCACCAGAGTGAGAGCCGGGAGCTAAGAGTCGCAACTGTGCCATGATCTGGGGAGTGGCTTGGTAGCGGTGATGGGGGTGCTGGCAATGGTGGGGAGACAGGGTGCAGGCTCACTGTGCTGGGCAGGGTTCCCTGCCACCGACAGGAGACAGAAATCCTACATAGATGACAGACAGATAGCTGCTAGCTGCTAGATAGGTAGGTAATAACAGATAGATAGATGATGATAGATGACAGGTAAGTAGATGTTAGGTAACACATGGTAGGTACATGGACAGATGGGTCTCTCTCTCTTTCTCTCTGAGTGATCTTTTTTTTTTAATTTATTCACTTATCTATGCACACAAGAGCTGGAGTACAGGCCAGAGAAGCGGGGAAGTGAGAAGATTCACCAGAGACAGAGCAGGGAACAGAACAGGCAGACTGACTGTAGTACACTCCTGAGAGGAGCAGCGGGTGAGACAGGAGAGGTCTGCCTCGCCATATTCCCTGGCCAGCTGGGGATCGAACTCGTGCTGCAGAGGCTGCGGATTGCTTCATAGTGCAGTGCTTAACCCCTGCGCCCCCAGGGAGGCGCCCTGAGTGATCTATCTTAAGAAATTGGCTCATGCAGTCATGGAGACTGAGTACCCCCAGGGGTCACCCTCTGAGAGCTAGAGACCCAGGGAAGTCAGTGGCGTAGCTCCAATTGGGTCCATAGGCCTGAGAACTGGAGAGCTGTGGTATGAGTTCTGCCTGCCTGCAGGGCCAGCAGTGCTGACGATGCCAGTATATCTCTACCCCTAGACTCTCTCCCCACCCCAATATTTGAGGACGATGGTGATCTGGGTGAAGGTGAGAATATTAGCCACAAAGCTAGCACACTGTTTGCCACATGTCAGGGTGGTGTCGCTCATCTTACTGACTCCTCACCATGTACCGGGGGCAGGGACTGTTCATATTATTATTCTGTTGGGACCAGGGACGTGGTGAGGGGAGATGGAAGGACACCCAGTAATTTGCTCAGGATCACACAGGCAGAGGTGGAGGAGGTGAAAGCACTCTTTGAATAAATGCCCAGGAGTAAGGGTGTTGGGTCAAATGGTACCCCCACTTTTAGCTTTAAGGAATCTCTGTACCATTTTCCAGAATCTGCACCAACTTACTTAGCTGGGATTTCATCAGTGAGTTTGTGAATTAATTACACAAACGCATTTATGCAGAGAACCACCCTGGGGACAGGAGGAGCCTGGGCTTTTGAACCACATGGGCCTCAGTTCAGCCTCGGCTCCCCCGATTCCCAGCAAGTGACCTTGGACAGTGAGCTTGTTACAGGGCAACCCTGATATAAAATGGGTTTCCTGACTGTGGGCCCTTACCTGCGTGCTTAAAAGGGACTCACACTACAGGCACACACAAAAGGTTAACAAAAGGTTTACTTACAAGGGAAGGGGAAATGAGGAAACGTACATCTCAGGGAGAAAAGAGGGAGATAAATTCTTAGCGTGTCCTACCCGTTCCGCCGACCTGGAATCCCAAATGACCCGCCGAGAGCAAACCCGCCTGGCCAAGAGCACGCACCAAGAGAGCAAGAGACCCCACTAACATGGCTGGGTAGAGTCACAAAGAGAGAAAATGGCTGCTTAACTCCACCCTTAGGTCCTCGCAACCTCCCTTTGGGGATCCTGGGATTTGTAGTTCCCAGTGTCTTGATGGAGTGGGGGTGGAGCCCACAAAACTTGTATGGAGTTAGCGCAGGACAGACTATCCCCCTAACAGCCCGACCCGAGCCGCAGCCTGGTGTGTCATGAGGACTTGTGATGAGTGCCAGGCACTGCCCATGCGGAAGGTGAAAGCTATAACCTGAGCCCAAACGAGGATAGACTTTGAGGACAGACGCTCAGGCCCTGGACTGTGGCTGGCCCAGAAACCCCCACTCTTGATGCAACTAGGGAGAAAGCTGCGTCTTGCTAAAAGCGGCGAGAGCACGGAAGTAAGGCTCTGAAGCCCCCCGCAGACAGACACAGGAAGGCGCACATTTCCCGCTGCAGATGGTCTTTATTCGATTTTTATCACCTTTCCGTGAAAGAGCGATTCCTGTTGGCTCTCTGAAGCGGTGAAGCTTACAAACGCATTATAGGTGAAAGTTCTTTAAAAATAAAGGTAACTAAGGAAGTGTGTGGTGGGAGGGGTGAGTAATAGAAGCTCCGCGAAGTGCAGGCGGGTTCCTATTAAGAAAGAAAAAGCACTAAAGCGGCGCTACTAAACCACCGTTTGGCTGGTTCTCTAGCTAGTGGCAAAAAAGAGGGAAGCAGGCTTGCTGATTTCTTCCCGGTGAGTAAATAGTCGAGCTGGTATCTGCATCTCGGCAAGATAAAGCCCACTGGAGGGACGACAAAGTGAGGTTTCTAACTGTCTCCCACGTTCCTAACGTGGGTTCCAGGCGGGAGCTTGTGCTCTGCTTTCTAGAAGGTGGACATGTGACGGGTCCAGACACTGCGGAACCGACACCTGGAGCCAGGCCTGGAACCCACAGGGGTTGCGCCGCGGCCACAACCTCTGTCCCTTAGGGCTGGCCCGGGCACCGCTTAGCTCTGGTGACCTGGCAGGATGGTGGTCCCAGGGCTCGGGTATTCCAAGGCATCGCAGTCATCCGAGACGAACACCAGGTCCTGAAAAAGACGTGGGACAAGGAGGAGCATCACTGAAGCTGGCTGCGGAGCCCACGCTCAGCCCCTGACCTCAGAGACTGCCCATGTGTGCCCCTGTGTGACTCTCCCTCCTTGCTCTCCCAGAGACCTGGCCACGTCTTTCTTCACGTTCCCATGGAATCTTCTGTACTCGATGAAATCACGCACAGGTCGGTCGACCAGATGGACAGATTCTGAGCCACAGCTCAGGGAGAGGCAACAGGCCTGCGCTTCGGCGCCAGTCACCCCACTTACCAGAATGTGTTATATATATATATATTCCACCTTCTTCCTCCCGCCCACCCCGGGAGGAGGGGCTGAGGAGGGACCTGGGGCAGGAGGAAATGCAGGCCAGACCTGGGATGCGCCGACATATAGGCTCTAACTCAGCAGCTGATTATAACGTCTCCGGAGGCGCCCTCTGACCAGGCAGCCCCCGGGACTTCTGCTTTGGCTCTGCTGAGGGCTCAGGGGCGGTTGCAGGGCCAGCACACAGGTCAGGATGGAGCGCCCATCGCTGCCCATCGCTGCCCAGCGGCCCCGGGAGAGGACACTGTCTCGTCCTCGGCCACGGAGAGGGGAAGCGTGGCTTGGGGTGGAGGGACTCCCACGCGGGGCGCAGGCGGACACCAGCGCGGGGCTGTCTGGTTCTGTGCCCTGCTTTCTGCACCGGCGCCAGCGTGGATTGTCCACTTTTTCCTTCTCCTTCCCCGCGTCTCCCAGACACGGCAGGCGCTCCTCCATGCATCCTCTCCCTGGAGAGTCTCCTCTAGAGACCTGGGGTGTGGCCTTGTGGGCTTGGGGCTGGGTCCTCACCCCGTAGCAGGGCGACAGAGCTGGACAAGGGCTGTGAACTGGATGCGCACAGAGAACTTTCTCTTCCTCGGGCCCCGACCCCGGCCCTCCCACCCCCCTCACATCCCCGAGCCTCTTGGAGGCTGACACCGGGAGAGGCACCTCAGGGACTGCTCACCCTCCTGCAGAAGGACGTCATGATGGTGTACAGCTTCCGCACTTTGTCCTTCAAGGCGTCCACCGGGGCCACTCTCCAGCACTGGGGTGATGCCACGAAGTCCCGCAGCTTGGCCAGCACGCAGTAATTCTGGAGGCGCAACAGGGAGGGGGCTTATGGGAGGCCCCACAGCCAGAGGGACGGAGCGGGGAGCCCTGCATGCTCTGCAGGTGGGGGGGGGCTCCCCCACGCCTCCCCCTGCCCCTCTTACGTGGATATCCAGGTAGAGCCTCGGCAGGTACCTCACGCACGGCTCCTGCAGAAAGGGATTCGGGGCACCCCCTTAGCCTGGCACAGAGGGCTCTTTGCCAGCGCCCCACCAGCAGAGCAACCCCTCCCACTCCCTGCCCCGTTCCTCCCAAACCACAAAAATGCTCTTCCACAATCTGATTGTTTGGTTTTTGCATTGTTTGTGTTATGTTTGTTGAGGTAGCATGGATTGACAGCACTGTGCATGTCTTACACCCTTTCCCCGCCAACGTTCAGAACGCAAGCTTATGGGATTTGCTGAGTGGGGGCGCTGCTGCAGACGGACACCGACACCCTGTGTGCACATTAAACAGCCGCCCGGCCAGACGGGGCGAGCTATGAGCGCCGGCCACGGGCTTGTCTGTGCAACGGCTGGATTGTTCTGTCTCCCAGGGAGTCGCCTCTGACCCCAGGCCCAGAATTCAGAGTCCCCTCCCTGCACTCTGGCCTGTTTGGCTCCTGGCCAAGAGGGCCTTCCCTGCTCCGCAGGTGGCCTGGGGTGTGGCCCCGCATCTGTGTGGTGTTTTTGGAGGCCGGATGTGGTCTTTAGGCCATGCCCGTTAGCGGGGTCACAGGACTAAAGACCTGGAGACTCGGATGCTGGTCCTGCCCTATGCGCGTGGCCGGGGGCTCCTGCTGCTGTGTGCCTCAGTTTCCCAATGGTGACATGAGAGTTAAAGCACAATCTGCTACTTCCTCCCAGCTCTGCAGTTCTGAGCTGACGGATTTTTTTTTTTTCATCTTTTGAAGTCAGATTTCTTTATAGCTTTGTTGGGAGGAGCCCGGGAGAAGGGCGCCTGGCCTTCCAGATCGCAGGCAGTAATGTGAGCCGACATTCCCTCCACTTAAAACAACAAAAGTTCTCGTACATACTCAGCAACAAAGAATTTGTGGCTAAGGGCGAGTGGACAACTGAGCGCTGAGATGTCCAGAGAGCACGTTAGTGTGTTTGGCGGCGCCACTGAGAAGTCCGAGCGGCTCCCTTTTTTGTGGCCCGCTTTGTCTGTGTCCACCCTCGTGGGCGTCCGCGCCTCCCTTGTATCCTGGCTAGTTATAAGCAAGAATTGGGATGTCTTTGCTGGCTTTTCCTTTTTTTTTTTTTTTTTTTAGTGTACAAGCCACTTGGTATGTGAGAGAACGGGAATAAGACACAAACGCCCTTGAGATGGATCGTAACCCAGAAGGAGAAACGGCTTTCTGTCCCCCAGGCCAAAGGCAAGTTTTGGAGGCGCGGATCCGGGCTGGACGCCTGGCCCGCGGCGGGCGGGAGGGGACTCACCCCGGGGGCGGCGGCCTGCAGGCTCTCGGAGTCGCCGCTGATCTCCCGGCCCAGCGTCAGCACCCTGGAGTAGCAGGTCGGGGGCGCGGGCTGCACGGCGGGGGCCCCGGCCAGGAGCAGCAGCAGGGCCAGCAGCAGGGCCGCCATGGTGCCTTGGCCGCCTCCCGCAGCCCCGCGCCCCCTTTAAGCAGCGGCTCTGGGGTGGCCCCCCACCCTCTGCTTCCTGTGGTCCCGGCCAGGACCGCGAGCACGCCCACCTGGCCCGGGAACACTGGCTGCATTCAGACCTGAGGCTCCGCTCGTCGAGAGGGGGCTGCCTGGGGTGTGCAGGCACTTGGGGGAGGCAGCCCCTTCCCCACCCTTTCACAGGGGCCTGTGGCCAGGCAGGCAGCCGGGAGGACCAGCGGGGAGGGAGGGTGGGCGGGAGGTGCTTCAGAGGCGCGGGCGGCCGTCCGAATGAGGACAGCTTTGTACAACAGAACTGGGGGCAGGAAAGGGATCGGAAGTGACCAACCGGGGGCTGCACCATGATCGGGGCCTGAGGCCAGGCAGGCTGGGTGTGGTGCCCACTGACCGCTGACAAGCCAGGGCAGCAGCGGCCGTGGCCTTCCCTCTGGGCATCCGAGAGGTGGACGCGTCAGCTGGACGGGCCTCCTTCCAGCTCCCAGCACTGCCCGGTGCAGACAGACCCTCAGAGCATGGGTCTGTGAGCCATACCACTCCATCCGGGGTGTCGCAGCTCCCAGGGGACGAGAACCCGCTCCCCTCAGACCTCTCGTAACATGGCTGTGCCATGGCCGTGCCCTCGAGCAGTTTCTTAACTCCTTCCTCTCCTTGCCTGTGACCAAGTGCAGGTGCTCCTCAAGGGCTCGGAGCCAGGGTCGTGGTCTCCATCCAACCCTGCCTGGGACCCTGTGAGGCAGGTGCTGCAGGAAACAACCCCACCTTTCCAGTGGGGATGTCGAGGCTCAGAGTTCAGCAACTGCCCAAGGTCACCAGGCCAGAGACAAATGGGCCCAACAGATTCCATGCCCTGCCCGCCCTCCCTCCTCCCACTGCCCGGAGTGGGACTGAGGGGAGCAGGGGGTGCAGTCACAGCAAGCTCGGGTCCTTGGGCTCCCCAGACTGAGGGAGGAAGAAGCTGTGAAAAGAGGGAGGGCAAAAAAAAAAAAAAAAAAAAAAGAGGGAGGGCATTCCCTCAAAGCTCTGCCCCTTCTTGGCCTTGTGGCAGTCGGGGAGGCCGAGAGATTCGGAGAGAAAAGGCTTCACCTAGACTGTGGTGTGAAGGGGACAGCTCTGGGGGCGGCCAGCGAGGCCACGAGAGCCAAGTCTGGCGGCCCCAGCTGGGAGCCCAGGCCTGGGACTCAAAGCAGGGCACGAGCCGACCCACGCAGAGGGCAGGCCTCGAGCTGTGAGCTAGAGATGGGTGTCGGGCCTCCCGGTGGTGCTCATTTACTACACCTCGGACCCATTACTCTGAACCTCCTTACTGTTTGGGTTTGTTCTCTGAGATGGTAATGTTCCTGGCCTGCCTTATCAGTTTTTAAACCAGCATCTTTATCACTATCTTTTAATCAGTATCTTTAAAGCGGAGTCTTATTCAAAAAAGTCAGTGTCTATATCAGGATTTCCTGACTGGGGAGCTGGGTTGATTGCCTGTCGATCCCCCAGGCCCAGCACCCGGGGGCAGGAGGCCCCAAGAGATAAGGCTGACCTCTGAGGGATGGTGGAGCCGATGCAGCTTCCTCCGCAGCTGCCACGTCCCACTGGCAGGGGCCGACCCGGGAAGGAAGAAGAGCTAACGTGAGCTCCGCGCTTGCTGGGCCAGGCCCGTTCCTCGGTGTCGCACAGCTTAGCCACGGCAACCCCATAAAAGCACTGTGTGGGAGGTGCTGGTATTGTTCCCACATACCAACTTCACAAGGTCAAGGCCCAGGGAGGCAAGACATTAAGAAGTTAAGTAACTCGCTTGAGGTGGCGCAGTTAATTAACAGCGGAGCCCAGACTCAGGCCAGACTGGCTGGCTCACACCTGCGTGCTCACCACCGCCCCACCCGGCCCCCTGAGACCTGGGCAGAGCAGGTGAGGAGGAGGAAAAGCCTTTAATGCTAACAAGCTGCCTGCTATTGGGCAGGTCCCGACCGTATTTTCGAACCTTAATTTCCTCAGAAAATGGGGTGCCTTGATAAACGGTATTTGGGGTTTTTCTCATTCTACATGTGCTGACTCTGTGCTCTGGGGAGTCACGGGACACCGAGTCCTCGCTGCCCTGGACAGGCCGAGTCTGCAGCCGCAGCGGCCAGAGCAGGGGCCCCGGGCCAGGTCAGGTGCCGGTGTCCCACCGCAAGGCGCTTGGCGCTGGCCCTCGGGTCTTCAGGCCCCTTGCAGAGCTGTGGATGGATGTGAGGGGCCGTTGCAGCTGGACGGATGCTCACTCCGGGGCCTCTGCCCAGGCGGTCTGGGAGTGCCAGGCAGAGCCCCGAGACCACAGCATGTCCCTTGTGTTTGCTTGTGCTCAGGGGCCGCCGCTGCCCTCCTCTGTTTGCAGGACACTCACTAATTCACTTAAAAGTCTTGTCAACAAATAGCAGAATTGACTTAGTGGAACCAGTAGCGGTCATGGCTTCTGGTCTACGGGAAATCCATACTCAGTTTCTGTCTTTGTGGATCCCCTTATAGTGGAAGCCACTGCATCTCGTGGCCCACGGCTGTGTCCCGAGCTGTGCTATCGTCACCTGTATCAATGCAAACCTTTTATTGTGGTAAAGACATGTAAGATGGTTTTTTACATCATTTTAACCATTTTCAGCATCCAATTCCATGGCATGAAGCAGGTTCTCCTTGTGCGATCATCACCACCATCATCTCCAGGACTTCTGCCCCAAGTGAAGCTCCTGACAGGCCCCCCAGCGCTGGTGGGGGTTCAGTGCCCGCCCACCGCGAGTCAGGAATGTCACAATAAAGCAAGTCTCTGGACCAGCGGGCTCCGTGCGTGGGGAGTTGTGGCTACACTCTCCTGTCGTCTATTAGGTGTGCATTAGTGTTGTGTCTAGAAACCCCGGGACACCTTGCCGACATCCCACACAGAAGGCGCGGAGGGACGCGCTGGGCGGGGTCGCCACCAACCTCCTGCCTGCGGAACCGCTATCCACAAGGTGCAATAACGTGGGGCGCAATAAGACAACGCCCAGCTCCTGGCGACCCCCATTCTGCTGCTTCTAGAGACCAGGCTGCATCCCGAGGTTTGAAGTCACCCCGGGAGTCAAACGCCCTGGACGCACCCACCTGCACGGCCGCTCCCAGCTGCTCGCCGGCGTCTGTCTGCGTCCTCACCTGTGAAATGGACCCGCGCGGCCATCGCCCCTGGCCTGCGCTGAAAGAGGGTCAGCGGTCTACGCACTCACAGCCCCCAGGCAGCGCGAGCAAGGGTTTGCAACTAGTATTTCTGGTGAGATTGCCAGCCCAGCAGCCCCCATGCCAAGCCCCCAATGCACACTGCGCTCTGGCCTAGGAGGGCTCTGGCCTGGGGCTCCTGGGTGGCGCGGCCCCACCATTCCCTCCCCCGCCCCGGGATGAGCCTCGCAGGACACAGCGTGGCGGTGGTGGACGGTGGCCGCTGGCCTGTGCTGTCCCCATGGGAGGGGTCCCTGGGAGCTGTGGCTAGCTCCCCAGCCGGGCCCCTAGCTCACCCTCCATCCCCAGGCGCCCAGCACTCAGCTCCTGCGGGCTGAGGCTTCCTCCCTCGGGAAGCATCCCCGGGGTTCTGGCCTGGGTCCTCTCAGGAAGCCGGGCAGACGCCCCCCCGCAGGAAGTGGGCCAGAGTAACCCCCGCCCGGGACAGAAAGTGTTTCAGGCTCTTCAGAAACCATTTCAGAAACTGGCTCAGCACCCGCGTTGCCGGCACGCCCGCGGTGCTCCCCGGGCCGCCTGGGGTTTCTCTCTTGTGTGAATGGCTCCTTGTTTCCCTCATGAGGAGCTCTGAGTCCTGAGAGTGGGCTTGGGGGGGCCAGCCGGAGGGCGAGGAGGCGAGGGCTTTCCGGGCTTCTACTCAACGTGATTTCTCTCCTGACGGCCGCTGTGCATGGGGGGCCGTGATTTCTCTCCTCAGGGCCGCCGGGCTGACGGGTCACGTGTCCCCAAGACGAGCCTCCAGTTATCACTGATCCACGGCTGTGAGAAAGGAAAGAAAACCTGGTGACAGGTTCCCCAACATCAGTGATAAACACGTTCTCCGAGGCTCGGCCTCTGTGCCAAGGGACATAAAGGTAAAAATAAAGAGTTGGGATGTCTGTAAATTAAAAGCTTTTATACTAAAAAGAAAATATAAGTAGAATAAAAAGACATCCACGGAATGGGAGAATGTAGTCGCACAATATACAACCGACAACCAAGGAGCTGCTCTCCAAGCTGCATAAAATACTTACACAAGTCAGCAATTAAAAAAACCAAACAATTAATAAATGGGCAGATCTGAGCTGGTAGTTCACCACGGGGGAGATCCCGAAGGCTGAAAGATACATAGAAAAAAATGTTCATCGTTGCTTTTAATGAGGGAGACACCGGGCAAAACCGCCTGCATTTGGACCAAGCCACAGTGGTAGCCGCCCCTTATCTTTTGAATGACCTTTTTATTCTGGGGGAGGAAATCTCCACTTACGAATCCCGCTTACCTCGCCGGTAGAGAATCAGAACTCAATTTCCCAGCTCCGCTTGCAGCAAGGCCAGAGGCATGTGACCTGGATTCCCTCAGTCCTGTGCAACCGAGTGGGGTTCAGGAAAGAAATGGGTGGCAGTATCGTACCTCATACGCAGCATCTCCCAGGGGGGTGCCTAGAAGCAATGGGATTTGCCTGCAGCCTGCTCACGGGGGTGTTCTGATGATGGTTATGGCTGCATCATGCCTTGCCCAATTCTCCAGGGACTGTGAGTTACTGAATAGCCTTTACTAGTTTTATATTCACTTTACATAGGGTTCATTCTGTTCTTTGCAACAAAGAACCCTGATTGTGCACTTGCCTGTAACTTTCACATCTGTAATAACACAATTCTTGCCTATCTCAAAGGTTTGTGTAAACAAATGTGCGTACGCTGGAAAGGGGCTGGGTGCAATGAGCGTGGTGAGAGATGGTGTCATTTTATTCTCCACTGAATACCCAGCACTTGGCATAGCACCTGGAGTATAGTAGGTGCGCAATAAACTATTGACAGTGGAGGAGAGGGCTGGGGAGGTGGGGAGAGACATGCTGCAATCACCGCAGCCTGCACTGGTAATCATCCTCCTCAACATTGCTTCTTTCTACCCAGCAGGCTCCTTATGGTTCTGATTATGCGAATTGGGTCCAGGTGTCTTTGAAGTCAGACATAAACTCCACAATTGCAGGCCAGACTAGAAGATGGTGATGTTTCCTGACGAGCAATCAAGTGGACCTGAGTGAGTGGGATCAGGTTCTGGCAGCAGCAACTCACAGACATGGATGGAAGGAGCTAAAGAGCCTGTGCTGCTGACATTTTGAGGCAAAACCTCCCAAATTCCAGGTGACAGTCACAGAAATGCTGCTTTATAATGACCTATTTAATATCGAGGCGAGGAGGGCATCTCAAGCTGCACACAACAGCTCTCTGGCCGGAGTTTGAAGGTACTTGGTTAAAACTGGAGTTTTGATGGACCAAACACTGCTTCCCACCTCGGTCATTTTGGGGGGATATTACTTTGCTGTTGGGGGTTGTCCTGAGCATTGTAGGGTATTTAGCAGCCTTCCCGGCCTCTGCCCAATAAATGCCAGGGCACTACCTCCCAACACCCAGGCCACGATCCCAAGAATGTCTCTCACACTGCCAAAGGCCCCTTGGGCAGGGGCGCCACCCCGCCCGCCCCAACTGAACCACCAGGCGAGAGCAGTATTTCTTATTTGACCAGATCCAGCATCTATTTATATTTACTGAGCTGCTGGTGGGCAGCAGGCACTCTGTTGGGTACTTTGACTCAAAGTTCCAGTAATTAGGATGAGAAAATGCATCCGAATTACATTTCACTAGAAATAAGGACAGAAAGGAAGTGGCGTGCTCAGGCTGAATCATGAATGAACGTCCAGCCACCAGGGGGCTGTTCAGATCCCAACCGGCCCTTCTCTTGTCTAGGCTGGGACTCTCATCCCGGCAGAACCCCGGCTGGCTGCGCAGCGTCAGTGACTCTGAAGACAGACCCTGCCTGAGGACTCTGGGAACCAGCTCTGACAGATGAACTCCCCAAAGCAAACCAGATAAAGATGGTTCTCTTCCAGGGTGCAGCTCTCAGATTACAGTGTCACCAGGTTTCAGCTCCCACTCAGCCGCACGGCTTTTATTTCCACCGAAGCTGTTTTCTGCACTGGGTATGAGGATTGCATGGGGACTTGCTCATTTCTGTACTCAGCGGCGCCTGCTTCACGTAAACATGTGTGTGTTGAATGAGTGAATGAATGGAGGGGGAAGGAGAGAGGAGAGGGAAGTGAGCGTGCATGTTGATGTCTCCCCGCGCCCTCTTGGAGCCTGCCCTCTACGTCCTTTATTTGGAAGACACTTGGATAAGAGGATGCCCTCATCTCTGTGTTCCCAAATGACCTTCAGTTCTGAGAAACAGCACAAGGGGTTTCAGTACTGGAAGAATACTTAGACATGATCTCATCCATATCCTCGCGGGTTCGTGAATCATCCCTGCATATTCTTGAGATGCCCATTAAGCCCACTCGTTGTTCAGTGGTTCTGGATGTCTGCTTTGCGCCTGTGCTGTTCTGGGAGGATGATAGTGAGGACACTGGCGTCCGTCCAGACTACATCAGTTAAGTAACAGGCTAAGCTGCTGAGCCAAAGGAACCCCGTGTTAACAACAAAGTAGTTTACGGGACTGTGTTTCAACAGGGCGAAGGCAGCAGGTGGTTCAAATCCAGTGTGACGTTCTCCTGCATGAAGTTACCCAGGAACCCAGGCTCCTTCTACCTGGCTGCTCCCTGAGCCGTGTTCCCCCCCAGCAGGGCTGAGGCTGGCTCACCCTACCATGTGGCCAGCACAGCCTCCAGGAAGCTGGAGACAGCATGCCTGGAGGTCGGCCCACCATTTCTCACAGCCTATTGGCTGGCACTTAGTCACATGGCCACTCATACCTGCAAAGGAAGCTGGGAAATGTAGTCTCTAGCCTCGCACATGCTCAGCTGAAACAGACTGTGCGAGTGTTGTGTTTTCAGAAGGGTTTGTCTCCTACCTTCCAGGCGACCCTTTTTCCAACTCACTCATGGTGTCTTTTAGCAAATCATTGTTACATGTGGCTTCTGCTTCCTAAGAAAAATTTATTCTCCCCAACACAGACTACTCTATAGCTCAGAGGCCCCCAGCCCTTCTCTTTGGGATGGGTGGATTCATGGAGCCTTTTGAGATTCATGAAAGACTTTAACTGTTGCTCAGAAGTGCACATCTGACTAAGTTCAAGCACAGCCTCAGCGTGTGTTTGGTGACTCCCTTGAGCCCTCGGAACCCCAACAACCGGGCACGCTGGTGTGACGTGGTGGCTGGCAGGAGTCCCTCTGACCCAGGCTGGTTCGCATTACAGCTAGAATTCTCCACACACACTTAATCCAAGGTCACCATGGAGCTACTATGCAAATTGCTTTAATGTAAGACCAAGGGGCCCAGAATTGCTGGGCTACCAGATTCCAAACTATGAAAATGCCTCGAGGGAAATTTTATAACGCCATGAAATGCAGACACACCACATTAGTAGCACTTTATGGACCTATGTTGAGAGCGTGTGTGAGCACGTGCATACGCACACAGTCTCTTAATAAAAAGGTCACTTTTGAAATGACGATTTTTTAATCATTAAGAATAGTTTGCTAGCAGAGCGAGATGATTCTCAACAACAGAGCTGGATGAGCAGAGCACCCCTTATCTTGGCGTGCACAGAACAGCCTTTTGGTATTTTTTCCTTTATAATGTACAATACTGCCAAACAGAACATATTGAAATTGAGTGCAAGCAGACGGTATTTACTCTCAGTGAACCAGAATCAAGTTTTAAATAAAATAGGCTTAACAGAAACGATAACAAAATCTGATCTAGTAGACTTGAAAAAATGGTTTGGCACGGAAGCCGCCTGCCCGGGGGAGTCACATTAGCCTCTGCAGCATGACCGTGTTACATGAAATTAAAGGTTATAGTCACGCGAGTTAGAGCTCCAGGACACTCGGGGTGATGTTCAGTGTCCTCAACCCTGGTCGCATCGGCCCGTGAATCTACATGAGTAAATTTAAGTCAGATCAAGAATCCCACTTATTTCTGAGCCCGTACTTAGGGTTTGAGAAGTCCGGAAGAAGGGGTGCTCCATCCCTGGTCAGATTCACAGACGGGGCCATCACCCCATGGCACTTGCACCATCAACCTTCCGGAGAAGCCAGATAAGAAGTCAGTGACTTTATTTAATTGATTTCCCTTTTTGCAGTTAGAAGACCATACACAGCCTTATCAGTACGTGAGGCGGGTAAGAAAGCAAGACCTGGAGCTGACTTCATCCAGAGCACAGTGGAAATCAAGTTCAGTCCTTCTGTCTCGAGGGGACTGGACAGCGTTCAAGGCTGTGGCGGGGACAGGAGAGGAATGTACTTACTTCCGAGTAACCCAGCCAGATGTGCCAGTATTACACACCCAGCCAGATGTGCCAGTATTACACACCCAGCTCCTGCGAGGAGTGTGGCCGGGTTTCAGGCGCCGTCTGTTGGGGAGACCAGCATGGGAGAGTCGGGGTAGGGAGCCGTGTCCTCCAGTCCCTGCTTTCCATAACTGGAGATGACCGTGGGCAAGGGTGAGATGGCCAGATGACATGGGTGCCCCTGGGCCCCTGGGGGAAGGAGAAAGTCTCCCCCAGGCTCCTGAGAGTGGGGATCTCGCCTGCGGTCTAGGCTGCTGACTGGCGCCGTCCAGAGTTCCCCGTCTCAGTCCTTGGCACCGACAGCTGGGTGTTTATAAAACTATAGGTGAGACGAGGTGAGAACTAACCCTCCTACTTGGAATAAAAGCACAGACCTTTCCTCAGCTTTGAAGGACGTGCTTCCCACCATTATTCCTGACCGCGCAGTGTCTCTCTCCTGCCTGGAGCCGCGCAGCTCACGTCACCCTCGCAGGAAACGGTTTCTACACGAGATACAGAGAACCATCGTAGAGCTTCCCTGCGCTTCCCCGAGACCTCTCAGGGCCTGTGCCCTTGACCCGGCTCCCTGGCGCGCCTGGCCCGCGCCTGCCTGACCCTGCGAGCGAGGACAGAGGGTGAGCGGGAAGCTGCTGCCAGGGGCGGTTTACCCGGAGCACCCCAGGTTCTCATCGGCTTCTCTTCTGGGCTGTCCTGGGCACGATGCACACGCAGAGCTGCTGACGACAGACGAGGCTGTTCCACGCGCGTGCTCCGCATGAACGTGCTGGGCCACACACTCGCCCTCCCGCGCAGGAGTCGTGCTGCTGCCTGGACGACACCGCGCCTCAGTCCTTGCGCCGCCAGGCGCCCGGGACTTCTCAGACCTCAGGCTGCTCTTCTGTGCCGGCTGCTCCTTCTCCGCGTGCCTCACCCCTCCCGTGGCGGGCCCAGGGGCTTGATCCTAGCATCGCCTCCCTTCATGCAGACAATCGCCTGCAGTCGCGGCGTCTTCTTAAATGGCAACTAGAGGCTCAGAGTCTCAAATTTCCATTTCTAGTTTCCACTTTTCTCCTCAACCGCAGACACATCTGTCCAGGGTCAAGTAAACACCCACAACGTCCCCAAACAGGACTCCGGGACGTCTCCCTCGTCCTCCTCCGGCCACGGCCAGTCCCTGCCCCCCACAGGAAGGGATCGTGCCCACCCGCAGTTTCCCCATCGTGGTGACCATCACTTTACCCCTGCGGTCGTTCAAGCCAAACCCTTCGGCTCACCTTTATCCCTCCCTTCAGGGGCCACCCGACCCGGCCGCCAGGGAATCCCGGCCCCCCGCCTCACCAGTTCTCACCCCCACCTGCCCCTGCCGGCGCCCACCCTCATCTCTCACCTGGATGATGACAACCACCTCAAAACCAGGGGCCCTGCTCCTCCTCTGCCGCCTCTGACTGCTCTCAGCAGGGCAACAGGGACCCCGGCAAACTGTCGGTCACGTCGCTCCTTTGTCCGGCCCCCTCCAGTGTGTCCCTGTTTCGTCCTGATGAAAGCCCGGTCCTCGCAGGGGCTCCTGAGCAGGCTCTCCGCAGCCTGCCCGTCCCCGCCCTCTCTGCCCCGCGGCCCTGGGCTGTCGGCACCTGAGGGTGAGCTGATGCTGCGGGTCGGCAGGGTGGGCAACTGGTGCCACCCTTTAAAAGAAGGCACCATAGACATGCAAAGACGGGGTGCCCCTCGCTCCATCTCCCTTCCTGGCTCCTTTTTCATCGTGAGGGTGAGAAAGGAGAAGTTGAGAAAGAAGATTTAAACAATGGGGACCCAGCTTTGCACCTCCACAGGCACGCTTTGGGGGCCAGGGGGGTGAGAGAACCCAGTATTGCCCCCCCACCAGTGCAAGGGTGGTGCCCACATTTCTTTAGGGCAAAGTGACTTAGAACCAGAAGCTCCCCCCCCCATCAAGAATGATTATGTTTTTATGTGACTGCATCAGCTTTCCTACTTATAGGCACTAAACTCAGACCTGAGATTGTTGGCACAGTTCTCACAGTGAAATCTGTCCTGTTGCGTCCTGGGCTCAAACCCTCACTTGGATGGTCCGATACACTGTCTGCCTATCGCCGAGACTTCATTCCAGTGAGCAGCAAAGATCACCGTCACCGTGTCGGTAAGCACGGCCACTGGCATGTGCCAAGTGTGAGCATTTACATGCAAGGCCGGCATCTGACACCCGGGCAGTCAGCTCCTGCTGTGTCAATGCTGGGAAACAAACACCCCCGCCCCTCTTTCACCGGGTTCGGGATCTGGAGAGGCTGCCTCCCAGGGTGGGAAGATTTCACTTTGGACTGAAACCAAATGCACAGACCCACAGATGGACCTACGAGAGGAATCCGTGTTACAAAGACACAGGCATACACTCAAACTGGCAGCAGGAAAGGGGGCAGACGATGGGTCTCTTGGCAAAGTTCAGGAGATGGGGGGGCTGCTCCAGAGAGCTCCTAGAATTGCCTCTGCAAGCAGGAGGGGGTGCCATGCCTCAGGGGGAGCCCCTGGCGCCAGTTGCCAAACGCTGGCGCAGGATCAGGGCTACAGGCTTGGAGTCCGTCGGCATCTCAAATCGCCTTGACTTTGTGCCTGTAATCACAGCGCTATTCGGGAGCGTCTTATCAGGACCACCTGCTAATTCCGATTTAGGTGGGGCTCTGTGGCTGCTTTTTACTGATAACTTACCTTGCTCTATGGAAACTGCCCCTTCTGCCATCAGTCAGGGTCACGGCGGTGTCCATGCAGACAGTACCGCAACCAGCCAGGAAATTACAGTATCGAGACAGGACACTGCCCTCCCTCCATCTCTGATGTGCAAGAACTCATCTGTTTCTTGCTCCTGAGCCTGCGGCTTTGCCATCAGGAGGCTTCAAAAACATCATCTGACACAGCCTCTCGCAGGGGCCCGGGCCCGCCGCCACCCTCCGCACCTCACAAGGCAGGATGCACAGGCCCAGCTCCGAGCGAGGCTGGCCTGCCTTCCCGGTCTAGCGGTTTGGCTCCATCCAGAGACTTTAGGGGTGTCGCTGGAGCGGGGCTGGCGCCATCCTGCCAGCCTTTTATGGTTGCCTCCACAAGGCTGGGTTAGACCAGAGCCCCCCGCCCTCGCCCCTTCTTGCAGGAGAGACCCAGGGAGGGGTGGGGTCGCAGAGACAGCTTGGAGAGAGAGCCCAGCGCTCCACCAGGGCACAGGCCACGGCTGAAGCGCCCAGCAGATGGCAGGATGTGGCCGGAGATTCCCCGAGCCAGAGGCTGGGGCGCGGGATGCGCCTCGTGGGGACCTGCGCGTGCCCCAGGGCGCGCCACTCTCGCCCCACGCGCCGCACTCCCGGGTCCCTGGCGACCCCCCAAGCCCCTGCCCCGGGCCCTGAGCGTTTTCTTCGGGTCTGGGCGCCCCGGGGGCCACCGTCTGTGGCGAAGCTGTTTTCTTAGATCAGACTCGGAGGCCGAGGCGTGGAGCGAGCGCCGAGGCCGCGTGTCCCCGCGTACGTGGGCCGGGACCGGGCTCTCCTCGGGGTCTGATTCCCGCCCCACTCGCGGGGCGCGGAGAGCAGCGCCCAGAGGAGCGCGCACGCGCCCGGCGCACCCCGGGGACAAGGGGGGCCCGAAGGGGCGTCCGGGGCACCCCTCACGCCGGCCCGCCCGCGGCCGCCCAAGGGCGCCTCTCCCTGGCAGCTCGGGCTCCGGCCCGGGAGTGGGCGGCGGGGCTTGCGCGCGCGGGGGGCCGCGGGGACCGGGGGGCGCCGGGGGACGTGCACCGGCGGGCGTCGGCGCGGAGTCGCGGCTCCAGGGTGCTGCCGGGCGCGCGCGTCCCCAGGCGGCTCCGGCTCCCCGCGGCCCCGCCCGGGCCCCGCGCCTCCCGCCCGCGCCGGCCGCGCGCCCCCTCCTCCAGGCCGCCCGCCGGGCCGCCGCGGCCACCACGCCCCCCGCGCCCGGCGCCCCTCCCCGCCGCGCGCCCCGCCCCGCCCCGCCCGCGCCCCGCGAGGACCGGCGCTCGGAGCCCGCGCAGGGCGCTCGGCCGCGGCTCTCCCGGCGCGCAGCGGGCACGGCGGGCGCGGCCGGGGCGCAGCGGGGAGGGGGCGCAGCCGGGGGGCGCCG